TGCTTCTGCTCCAGCAGATGCTGATGTAACGGCTGGAAGTTTCTCTCAAGGTCAAGCAAACCCAGCTTCTCCTGTCGTCCGAGATACAGGTACACCAAATGAGATTGACGGAATGGAAGTTGGGGAAGGTGACGAAGTACCCTTTGAGCAAGCAGACCTCGAAGCGGCCCATCTTGTCTCCACTGCCCAGGGTCAACCTGATACTTCCAGTATTCAAAATGATCCTGATTCTGTTACTGGGGCGCCTCTTCCAGTAGCTGATCCTGATTCTCATTTTCAACCAAGTGTAGATGTAGATATGAATAGTGATGGTGCAGAGGGAAATCAAAGTGTGGAACCTTCAGTTTTGGCCAGTGACAACAATGAGCTCTCATCCATGGAAGCTACACAAGAAGCGGGGAACGATGAACAAGTTGCTGAAGGTAGCTTGGACGGCGGGGCACATGAAGCGAATGCCATTGATCCTACATTTTTGGAGGCGCTCCCTGAAGATTTGCGAGCCGAAGTCCTTGCTTCTCAGCAAGCTCGGTCCGTTCAGCCTCCAACTTATGAACCACCTTCAGTAGACGACATAGATCCTGAATTTTTGGCAGCCCTTCCCCCAGATATCCAAACAGAAGTTCTTGCTCAACAAAGGGCACAAAGGATGGCCCAACAGTCCCAAGGACAGCCAGTTGACATGGATAACGCTTCAATTATTGCTACTTTACCTGCTGAATTACGTGAAGAGGTTTGCATCTCTCTACCTTTATTTTAATCAAGGTAATTTGGATCCGGAACTGGTTTTAACATCCTGAAGCATGCTACTTTCAGGTACTCTTAACATGTTCAGAAGCAGTTTTGGCAGCTTTACCTTCACCTTTGCTTGCGGAAGCGCAGATGCTAAGAGACCGAGCAATGAGTCACTATCAGGCTCGTAGTCTTTTTGGAAATAGCCACAGACTGAATAATCGAAGGAATGGTAACAATAGGCTGACGGGGATGGACAGGGGTGCTGGAATCACTATGGGTCAAAGGGCTGTTTCATCTTCTGCAGATGGCTTGAAACTAAAAGAGATCGAAGGAGACCCTCTTGTGAATGTTGATGCCTTGAAATCACTTATCCGGCTACTACGACTAGCACAGGTTAGAGGCATTCCTGTTTTTTTCCCAACCCTTTCTAATGGAAGTATCATAAGTATTGGTTTATGCTAATTTTCGCTTCTTACAATAATGTTTTTCTATGTATCAGCCCTTGGGAAAAGGCCTTCTGCATAGGCTTTTATTAAATCTATGTGCTCACAGTGTGACAAGAGCAAACTTGGTTCAACTTTTGCTGGATATGATTAGGCCAGAGATGGAAACATCACCCAGCAAGTTGGCGGGAACTAATCCTCAAAGACTCTATGGCTGTCAATCAAATGTTGTTTATGGACGATCCCAGCTGTTGAATGGTAGTAGTTCCTATCGAAGTTCTTTGTTTGCTATTCTGGCCAACTTCGAGAGCAACTTCTGACTTTCCTTTTTCCTAACACAGGTCTTCCTCCTCTAGTGTTCCGTCGGGTGCTTGAGGTTTTGACGTACTTGGCTACGAATCATCCGGCTGTTGCTGACATGTTGTTTTACTTCGATTCGTCACTGCTGTCCCAGTTGTCAAGCCCGAAACCTTCTGTGTGTGAGGGCAAGGGTAAGGAGAAAGTTACTCATGTGACAGACTCACGGGATCTGGAGATACCTCTGGTTGTCTTCCTAAAACTGCTCAACCGGCCTCAGCTTTTGCAGAGTACATCTCATCTCGCACTGGTATGTTTAGCATGATTTTCAGAATATGAGGCATCTTCTCGCTACATTCTCCAGATATTTGCGTTGAAGATTATTTTATGTCTATACACACGATTTGTGTTCTGTATGTTTCAGGTCATGGGTTTGCTGCAAGTAGTTGTGTACACAGCAGCATCAAGAATTGAGGGATGGTCTCCATCATCAGTCGTACCTGAGAAATTAGAAAACAAACCCATTGGTGAAGAAGCTTCAAGTGAAACACGAAAAGATGCTGAATCTGAGTTAGTGGATGAAGCTGAGATATCTGATGCAAGAAGGAAGAATCGTGCTGACATATATAACATATTCTTGCAGTTGCCACAGTCCGAACTCTGCAATCTTTGTATTCTTCTTGGTTATGAAGGGTAAATGACTCCCTCCTTTCTTCCGTTCAATGTTTTCCTGAGTTTACGCTTTCTTCTTATTTCTATGTATGTAGTGGTCTACACAACATATGTCTTCCTGACTCGCATGTTTCAATACCTTAATAGGTTATCGGATAAAATTTACTCGTTAGCGGGAGAGGTACTCAAAAAGCTGGCCGCCGTGGATGTTGCTCATCGCAAGTTCTTCACGAAAGAGCTTTCAGAACTGGCAAGTGGTTTAAGTGCCTCAATTGTCCGTGAACTGGCAACACTGAGCAATACACAGAAGATGAGTCACAGTACTGGTTCCATGGCGGGTGCTTCAATTCTCCGTGTTCTACAGGTGCTTAGCTCACTAACTTCCTCTGTTGATGATAGCAATGCGGGAACTGAAAGGGAAACAGAAGAGGAGGAACAAAACATTATGCAGAGACTAAACTTGGCATTAGAGCCCCTGTGGCAAGAACTTAGCCAGTGTATCAGCATTACTGAGTCGCAGCTGGATAATACTGCAGCTGATACAGCCGTGCCTAACGTGAACTCCGGAGATCATGTCCTAGGGATTTCTCCTCCGTCCCCACTTTCTCCAGGAACTCAGAGGCTCCTACCTCTGATTGAGGCTTTCTTTGTTCTCTGTGAGAAAACTCAAACTCCACCAATACTACAGCAGGATCATGGGAATGTGACAGCGGGAGAAGTAAAAGAGTCTGTTCTTAGTTCATCATCTAAAACCAGCGTAGATTCTCAGAAAAAAACAGATGGCTCTGTTACATTTTCAAAGTTTGCGGACAAGCATAGGCGACTTTTGAATTCTTTTGTTAGGCAAAATCCGAGTTTACTGGAGAAGTCCCTTTCAATAATGCTCAAGGCACCAAGGCTGATTGATTTTGACAACAAGAAAGCGTACTTCAGGTCAAGGATAAGGCACCAACATGGTCGACAGATTTCTGGGCCATTGCGTATTAGTGTCCGCCGCGCTTATGTGTTGGAAGATTCATACAACCAGTTACGTATGCGCTCCCCACAGGATCTGAAAGGACGTCTGAATGTGCAGTTTCAAGGTGAGGAAGGTATTGATGCCGGTGGTCTTACAAGAGAATGGTATCAGTTATTGTCAAGAGTTATATTTGACAAAGGAGCATTGCTGTTCACTACCGTTGGAAATGATGCCACCTTCCAGCCGAATCCCAACTCTGCTTACCAAACTGAGCATCTATCATACTTCAAATTTGTTGGTCGCATGGTAATATCAGGACCTCGTCATTTCAGTGACCCAAATGTTATTGTTTGTTTTGTTTTGGGGGCCTGGCTGAATTTTTGTGTGATGATCACTGCAGGTGGCGAAGGCGTTGTTTGATGGGCAGCTTTTGGATGTCTATTTCACTCGTTCTTTCTATAAACACATACTTGGTGTGAAGGTAACCTATCATGACATTGAGGCAGTGGATCCTGATTACTACAAGAATTTGAAGTGGCTGCTAGAGGTTCGTGGACCTAGTCTTAATTTACCTTTCTCTTATCAAAAGCTCATTTACCACGGTGCCTTTTAGAGACTTATCTTTGTCCCTTTTCTCTGTTCATTCAGAATGATTTGAGCGACATACTGGACCTAACATTTAGTATGGAGGCAGATGAGGAAACACACATTCTTTACGAAAAGGCTGAGGTGTGTGATAATAGATATTTGTTTCTCTGCTCATTATCTATCCCAAAGGGCCTTCTTACCATATTGAATTGATTATTTTATCTTTACTTGAAAAGGTGACGGACTATGAGCTTAAACCTGGAGGAAGAAATATACGGGTCACAGAAGAAACAAAACACGAATATGTTGATCTTGTGGCCGGCCACAAGCTTACCAATGCTATTCGGCCTCAAATCAATGCCTTCCTCGAAGGCTTTAATGAGTTGATACCTCGTGAGCTCGTATCCATTTTCAACGACAAAGAGCTTGAGCTCCTAATCAGCGGTTTGCCTGAGATTGATTGTAAGTTGGATACTATTGTTCAGTATTGTTGCATGAATTTGCTTTTTGCATTGAGTTATGATATAACAGTAAGTATCATGTTATTTCAGTTGATGATCTTAAAGCCAATACCGAGTATACCAGCTACACGGCAGGATCCCCTGTAATTCATTGGTTCTGGGAGGTCGTTAAAGCTTTTAGCAAAGAAGACATGGCTAGATTTCTTCAATTCGTCACCGGAACGTCAAAGGTAAGCAAATACATGTCCTGATAATATGTACTCTGGTCTCTTTCTCTTTCTCTTTTGTGTGTTGACAAGTGGTGTTTCTGGTTTTTCAGGTTCCTTTGGAAGGTTTCAAGGCTCTGCAAGGCATTTCTGGCCCTCAAAGGTTACAAATCCACAAAGCATATGGAGCTCCGGAGAGGCTGCCATCAGCTCATACATGGTAAGAAATCATTACAAAACCTTTTTTCATATTTGAATGGTTGTTTTGTTTATCTCCCTCTTGAGTTGATTCTCATTTGGTTACATGTGTTGTTTGCAGTTTTAACCAGTTAGACCTCCCAGAGTATCAATCTAAGGAACAACTTCAGGAACGCTTGCTACTTGCCATTCACGAAGCCAGTGAAGGTTTCGGCTTTGCTTGAACCAAAGCTTGTTCATATATTTTTAGTATTAATTTAGGGTTTCTGTTTCTCTCTTTTTGGATTTTGTAAAGCAAAAATCTTTAAAATTGTTGCAAACTTTCTAAACATTAGACTATTTTTAAGTAAGCGTAATGAAATCAGGAAATCACAAAGGAACATATTTGGGTGATTCGATACCCTTTTTTTCTGAAAATTAGTAGTTGGTATAATTATTTGTTTTCTCATAAAAACGCGACAAAGGTGCAGGCAGATAAAGCTAAAACAACTGATTTAACGGTCACGCTCATTGGCATCTTCCCTTTGTCTTTCCTTATGACCATACCTTCGTATAACGGCCAGTTTATTACAACAAGCAGCCCTGCTATCACAAACTGCAAACTCATTCTCTGAAACTCTCCACCGTCTCTAAAAGTGACCAGTCTCATGACTGCGGCGGCGAAGCACAAGAGATTGAGCGTCCCGAGTGTTCCGAGGAGGACAAACATCGGAGACTCCACTCCAAACTCCATTACTTCTCTCTCGTATCTCTCTGCTGCTTCTTCTTCTGCTACTTTCGCTGTGATCACAAACGCAGACTCCGATACCCCAAGTTTCTTCAGAATTGTGTCGATGAATCCGAAAAGAAACGAGCTTGTTCTTCTATAAAGCCACATCCTTTGCTCATTCCACCATCCTCGGAACGTCCCTCCGCACCACAAGAACTCGGCGAGGCTATATGCATTAACTGCGACAGTCACGTATCCAAACGGGATAAACCACCAGCTCCATACCTGGATTCAAACACCAGAAAAAAAGCGGATTGGTTTTTGCCCGATTAATACCAAAACATAAACTGGAAAAAGCTATTTATTACCTTTGGAAACAGAGGAATGCCTTTGAAGAGACAGAGAGAAGCCAAAACAGAGTAAACAAGCACAGGTACTGAACTTGGAGCCCAAAACAGGAAGCAACAGTAACCAAGTATCAGTCCTAATCTGATCTTTCCTTGTCCATACCAAACCGGACTATACTCGGAAAGCAGAATCTGAAATTCTCCTTCCGACCATCTCCTCCACTGCACAAGCATCTGGTGTAAGTTGGTCGGTGCTACCCCTACAAAAGCTTTACTCTTGGGGTTCAAGTATGCTGATTTCCATCCTCGGCACTGAATTGCTAAACCGGTTATTACATCCTCTACCGCGCAACCATATTTCAGACCCATCTGCCATGGAAACAGAACCCGGTTTAGGTCCGGTATAAGAAGCATTTGAAAGGTATTAATCACAGCCTTACCTCCTTTCCCCATTGAGAGTTTTCATCATAAGTAGAGCTTGCGAGAGCCTTGATCATCTCAGGCTCTGTAATTTCTTCAATTTCCTCAAACTCTTCTTCTTCCTCTCCATACTTTCTCCCACAGATGACATCTCTTCTGTGAAAGCAACCAGTCCCAACGTATATCGGTCCTCCATTTCCATCCATTCCGTGTAACTCCACCTTTTCATTATTTAGTATTCACATCCCAAAACCTTAAGAGTTAGTTAAAAGCAGAATCAATATATCAAAAATCCAGAATCAACATATGTTGTGTTTTCTGCGGTCTCTCTCTCTCCGGGACTTACATTCTTTCCTGGTCGCATCATGCTTCCATACAAATCATTCCTCGTAATGTTCTCAAAGCACTGCGGAAACTGCACGAAAGCAATCTCTTTGCCCTCTTTCTCATCAAGGAGGATGCAGAGTGCGTCGCGTGCTGACTTTGAGTTGTTTGAATACATATCACAGTCCAGGTTTAGTATGAAT